CAGTAGTCCGAGCCCTGCGATGGTGACAACAATTCGTCGCTCCTATATTTCCTGAGCGGAACCTCTAAACAAAGAGAATGATCGTATACAGCAAATGGGGCTGAAATAGCCAGGATTCGCGAAAACCTCGCTTCAGAGATGGCGCCACTAGACCCAACTCCCAAGTAGTTAGGCGGAGGCCGCCACCACACAAGCGAAGTTCGGTTGTACCTTACGTTCCTGCTGGTGTCAGGCCATACCCATGCTAATTCCAGGCTAGCGCAGGTGAATCGGCGGGCAGCTCTAGGCGTTGACGGCCCAAGGTGCGCCTAGTGGCCTTAACTATAGGTGATCACCAGTTAAACCTCTGGGGCCACAACAGCCAGAAGTAGGTGGGTATGTGATCATGTCACATCACTGCAAAAACTCAAATGGAGGGCACCTCGAATACTGCTTCAGCTGTCGTAGTTGGCCACGCTGATAAGAGAACGAAACAAGAAGGGGTTAGCACTGGTGGCACGAGAAGCATCACGCAACATTTACTTTTGCCCCGTACTGAGCTCTGAAATAACAGTTCTCTGCAGAGCACGTGCACGAAGTTTTGAGACATCTTTTCCCATGCAACCGCTTATTTCAGAGGCTACAGGTGAGAAGGTATGTTTTCAAGCTAGATGTGGTAGCAGTGTACCATACAAGATCTATATAACGTCCTCTTGCTTTTAGGTCTCATTAGATATAATGAATCCGGTCAGATGAAACTTTCGCTATCTCTTAACATCAAGATTTATATGAAGTCATGCTCAAAACAAAGGACGAGGCAAATAGTTGCCGTCCATGTGAAACTCTAAGCAAACCGAGAAAGATACGAGCAAGCACGGTTTTCCTTTCAGAGGTTTCGAATCAGGCTTGCATTCATTCCAGGACCCCATATGGAGTGTCCATTTCTTCTAATCCCTGCAGAAGTTGGAGGCTCAACCCCTCCCATACGGAGTCTAGGCCTGCTGAAGTGGCGCATTCTCCTCAGTAGATAATGTCCTCATGGTCGTAGTTTCTCGAGTTTCATTGTTCAACTTCGACGCTGCCCCCCCCCGGGTTCTCGACATCCAGGTTTGTTACCTTAATTTTGCATTTCCAAGTGTGCCCTTTCAAGATGAACAACAAGTCAAGGTTCCCGTATTCACCCGGGTATCTCAAACCGTCACAGACCTCCCCGAGTCGTGTGCTCAAAGCATGCGACAGGTGCAGATTGAAGAAGACCAAGGTGAGAGGTCGGCCATTTGTAGACTCTGCCAAAACTGATATTCGAGCCAGTGTGATGGCAAAAGGCCGTGCAGCCGATGCGAAGCTGAAGACACGGTTTGTTCATTTGCGATGCCCAAGAAGTTTCGCAATGTTGTGCACCCCAAAGGGTCTGCTATGTCCGTTTTACATAAAGATGTGACTGATGAAACTCCAGATCTGTGGAGATGCTCTTGCAACAGCAGGAATGGCTCGTATCCGGTCTTCTTGAGCTTTACAGGCGTACACAGCTCGCCTGCGGCCCTTCAAACGAATTACAACTTGAGAGCAAGAGTGGCCTTCCTTCTGTTCACCATATTTTGGAGCAGCTGGGCATTTTGGAAGAGAACCATAGTTGTGTTGCTCCTGAGTCCTCAATGGCAGCAAGTCCAAGGCAACGTATCTGTGAGCCACCTGGCGATACATATAAGACGACACTTTATTCCGCAAATAATGATACTGCTGATGGTCACTACGGTATATTTAATAACGACAACGGATCATCTTATCAGGCTTCTGCGCCTTCAGTAACCGGTAATATGGATCAGTATGCTACATTCTTCGAATTCCACGGCACGGTTCAGAAAGCTCAGTCCGCGCTGTCGAGTCAACATTCGGACGCAGGACCCTCGTGGGATTTTGATCTTACATCAGGGCTGGATCAGTCCATTGGAGAGGTCCTGTCCCCCGAGGTTCAGACAGCCTTCGAAATTCCTCTGCCACCGGCGATCTATGGTGATAGGGGGTGTATCATTCCAGCAGAGACATTTCATCAGCACCTTTCGAGATCTCCTTTAGTGCAAAATACGCCAACGGCAAAACGCACGAATTCAACTCATCACGTCGCTGAGACACTCACTTTTCCAACTTCAAATGGTCTGGGCCGACTCCACAGGTAGACTTATATGTATCTATAGCAGCAATGAAAGGGATATAGCAAGATCCCTTCAAGATATCTGAAACTCCTAGTTCGACGTAGAGAGAATATTGTGAAAGTGATGTATATCCGAAATTCAAAGCACAACCATTAAGAAACATAAATAGCTATTACGGTGGGTGAAGGATATTTAGTAGGAATACTTTTCGCCTATCCCGAAGAGTATGTATGTTACAATGGAAAAAGCATAATATAGGACACTTACTTGTAGTAGAATTAAATTATGAAACTAACTACATCTTCTAATACACCTGGTAAGCCACTTCAAGGTAGTTCAGGATCATGCCCCATATCCATCATCAGTTTACCTTGGTTCCAATCCACAATCGGTTTACTCCTCTGCAACACAGAGAAAATTCAGACGAGGCCGGCCGTCGTTGTGGAATAAGATTTGTCAATCTCGATTGATCTGTTGATATAGAGAACCGAATCTGCCGAATAGAGAAGCCTCTTCGTCACGGAGCCCGTATGCAATGGTTTTCGTGGGATATTGTGCTGCCATAATCGAGATCTGCGCCTCGATGTAATCCAATCCAAGGCCTTCCATATTTCACAAAAGATGCAAAAACCCAAGCAGATACTGCAATAAACCCTCTCAGGCCGCTTGTTCTGGATCAAAGACACGATAGCTCGCTTGGATCTGCACTGTACGCGCTCTGTACCAGCTGCCATTGGCATGTTGTACCTGTCGCTGTCGCCCTTCTTGTCTGGGACTGTCAAACTCAGGATATCGATAGAAAAAGGCGGAGGAGGCGTACGTTGTATCGGAGCTGTTTGGATGATGCCGCTCTTTTTCGAGATCTTTGATTTATAACGAGTGTGAGTCTTGTATATCGATTGTTGGTTTTTGGCGGGATTATCAATTGGAACCCGGAAGCCGCTCTTTTTTTTCCCCCAAGAAGAAGCAGCTAATGAAGGATCTCGGGGGGAGGGGGGGGGACGCAATCTTCTAACTTCCCTACACCATCACCACTTCTCAATGGTCGAAATGTCCGCTAAGAGATCGCCTTCTTTGTGATGTGGGATTCTTATGTGGTGTACAAGGTATGTCGGTGAACTTCTGCCGGAAAATGATCTGGTGCCTGTGTTAGTTCCTGCATATCTATGCTTCAATCTATGTGCTTGTCATGCCGTTCCGTGAATGATTTCTACAGATTTTCCACATCGGACAAGCTCCTAGGTAGCCTGAGGTCCCATGCGTCATCTGGAGCTCTTGTATAATCCGCTTAGAGTGAAGCCAATAGCTCTGCCTCAGGTCAAACGGCTATCCGTAGCTCTTTCACATGGCACAGACGAACAAATCTGCTCACAAGGAATGTCTCGCTAGATCTGCCTCATGCCAACGAAGTTTCTGCCCCTGCTCATCTTTAGACGAGGTGCGGCCTGTAACATAAGCCAATAGATCGGACAAACTTGGAGGAGCTGGGCAGACCGTGCCACCCGCACTTCGCTGCTCCAGCTCAGGGTTCTCAAAAGGCATTGGCGGTACTCGTAGTATATGACGGGACAGGGGTTTGGCCCCGCGCCCCTCGGAAAGTCTCTTTATTTTGACGTAAGAATACGAAGCGAACGGGAGGGAAGAGAGTGCACTAAGTGAGGTTTTTTTGAGCGATGTTTTGCAGTCACTTCTGCGCACTTAGCCAGAATGAGCAAGCCTGATGCAAGGATTTTCGACCCACCATACGTCCTCCTGACCTGTTGGTCCTCCGAATATATTACTGGAGAAATCCGGTCATACCGACGCTGATTTAAATTATTTGTACGTCCCGTTTTCCGTCATGTAAATTTCAAACTTATTCTTTTATAGTCCTGGTATTCAAAAATTACAATATTTAAATACCCATGTTTCAGAATTTCCAAATAGGCGATGCTCTCTTCTGTTGGTCTCTTCCAACGCACTCTCCAACAAGCGCACACCGCTATCTAGGCAAGTTACCTTAATCAAACGATTCCAAGCAACATAAAGTTCAGACCAAGCCTGGTGGTGGTAGGTTTCGGCCTTTAAAAGATAGCTCACTTATGGCACTGAGAAGTAGCATAGGCGGGACTGACGGTATCTGCCTCAGCGGATCGGTTCCCTTCCTGCGGCCGTCGAATTTCCCTATAGATTGAGACTGAACATGCTGTAAGAATTTGTCATAGAGTCACCTCTCTTTAATGTCGACGGTTTGCCTCGGAGGCTGATTAAGAACAGGCTGTTCCCTCTTTTTTTTCCCCGTATACTGTCCTTTGCAAATCTATTGCTCATGTAATTTCGTCTTCCGAAACTCAAGTACAAAGGAAGTTGGTTCTTTTCTCAGAGGATGGTCTTTCCAGAGTGCTCTAATTCATACGCACGTTATTCGTTGTTAATTTCAATAATTTTTTATTGATGCTGGGGTTACTTCTTGGCATCTCAATATTTTTGTCTTTCTCCCGCCCAGGCCGCCCGATTGCTCTGCCCAGAAGACAGAGGAATATGATAGAGCATAGTGAATACTGCTTAAGGAGCCTTTAATCAAGCCTTCCTCGTCGTCGAGGTATGGTAGTTTCTTATCATTCTCCAAATATACGTAGGGGCGAATCATAGAACACATTCACTATGAAAGGATGGAGTATTTAATTAATCCTTCTGTATAGATATATATATAGTACAACTTTAATAATTGTAGATAAACCGAAATCAACGTAGAAGCTTACCAGAATCAATATATACCTAATCTTCAAAGCTACTTAGATGTTATAGCCCTTGAGAAGGATAGCCGGAATACGTATATTAACTCAAAAAATGGGAGTTCAGTTATAGTCCTCGTCCCCCTATCTGCTTTCACGCTTCTGTTGTTCTATTCGTCGGTTAGCAGGGAATCTTTGCAAGTGTTTATTCGTCAATGCAACCTACCGGACTTCAGGTCTGCTGACCTTTTCCCTATGGACATGACGGTCCCTTGTGCATACGTAAAGCCCCTATTCACCGGTCAGAACACTTCTTTGGGTAAAGAATATCACAAACCTACACAAAGGCCGCTTCCAAGCCAGAGGAAAGCTCCTATGAAGATGAAGGCATTGCTGGTCCTCCAAGTCGAACAATTGACGGTGCCAATAATAGTTTGATTTGCATTGGTGATGGGAATTGTGCGATACCAGCCTCCCCAATAGTAGCCCCAGCTAGTCCAATACCAGCGTGAATGGCATCCTCCCGATGATGTGAGCTATTAAGAGATCAGTATAACCGGGCAACGAGTTGTGTTCAGTGGGTGTAGTATTAGTGGCTTACATCAACTAATAATCCAAAAGAGACGATCCAACATATGAATAGGGCGAAGTCGAGGGGAAATGCCCAGAAGGAGTATTTCAATGGAGGCATAAAAACAAGAGCAGCAAGTATACTAATGCCGGCAATGACTTGTGTGTATATAATACGGCCATTTGCGTGGGCGTTCGCGTCATCCAGGAGGTGAAGGTAATAGCCTAGTATACCGGCCACAATCGCAGCACAGATGACCTCGCCAATGCGAAGGCAAAAAGAGGCAACCTGAGATCCAACTCCCATGGTGCAGAGTAGCAGGATATAATAAAGTCGATTTTATGTTGGAAGTGAGTGATCGCCCGTGTGGGAATTTCTGAGAATGAAAAAGATGGAGGTGGAAGGAGGATTTAAAGAGAAAAGGCAGTTATTTAACATCCCCCTTTGGCTTTGTAAATAGATATCATACGGGAAGTATTCTGCGTCTCAAGAGTCGCGCCTCGTCCTTTAACTCAACCCCCTGCACAAAGGCCGTACAACTACTAGGGCATCTGCAAACTACTAAAGTTAATCACCATTGGTCAACTAGATTTTAGCCGATCCATTCCGGCCCGGGGGAAGTAAAATCAACGCTTTCCTGGGCCAAATGTTATTGAGAAATTCGTTGGACCTATCAGCTAGCAGCTTCGAAGGAGTTAGATAAAGCACGGACCTGAAACAAGGCTTTTTAGATACAAACCTCCCGCCAGGCTCCGGCGAATTGAAGCTGAAACACGAAAATGGAAGCCGAAGACCTCTGGCCCGTGGGCTGCTCATCGTATCTCACCCAAGTCTTCGATTCTTGTTCTAATATTGTTCCAAAAGGCACTCTTGAGACGTGGTCACTAACAGTTATCCTCAACCGTAGGATTGCTTTTATATGTATCGTTTAAATTAGCTCGCGCCTCGTTAATGAAGGCATGATCATCACTGTTGAAGTGATAATCTTGACATCTTTGTCTATTGCATCTAAACTAGCCTTCAATGGCGCCGATTGATTTTTTAAGGTACGGAACTTATACTAGGCGAGACGGAGATTCGCCTAGCACCAATTCTGTTCAAAGCTCTTCAACAAGTCTTCCTCAAGCAAGCAGTCTGGCCCCAGTATATGTTAGTGCAGCCTTGGTTTTATTGCTCTTAGCAATCGGGTAAGCTCAATGATAAATACCTATGACTTCTATTGTTCGATATCTTAAGCACTGAAGAACTAAATGCCGGTATATTTTTGTTACTGATCTTATTTAAGACTAATTACGTTTAGGACGAGGGAGTATTTGAGAAGCAGACGTGAAAAGCAGCTACAAGTCCAGCTATCTATTGAGCAGAGGCAAATGGAGGACGAATTTCTCACCACCCTTCCTCGTGTCGTGACTCTGGGAGTGCATCGGGGTTCCCAGGGCTTAGCTGGCTATCTTGTCGTTGAGTCCAACTGTTCATCAATAACCGAAGAGGACACAACCTGGTACGTTGAACAGATGCAAAGAGTTAATTACTGTAGCTCATCTAAGTTACTAATGCTGTGGCGGTTCCACGCAGTCCATTTTGCCTGGACACGATTCACTCAGAAGACATGATTAGAAGACTACCTCAGTGTAGCCATTTCTTCCACCAGAGTTGTTGTGACGAGTGGATTCGAAAAGAACTTCAATCTCAAGGGAAGTCCAACCTTAGAGCGACGAACTTTGGTCAGCTGGGTCTGGGTCTACCTTTCAACCATTTTAAACTGTTTTGTCCTGTCTGCCGCATGGGTTTTGCTTCAGCCATGAGCTGTAAGCTTGCGGAGCCAGAAGCTGTACACGTATGCAATCGATAAACCTACGACAGAGTCGTTAGTCCCAGTTTGTTGTGACCAATATTTGCAGGGTCCAGCTGAAATAGAAGATTGGCAAGGATATCTGCCCAAAGGAGTGCCGCCCGGTGCTAGATGTTGGATAGGCTGGTGGCGTTCTGCTCCGCCTACAAAGACCGCTGGATCAGGAACCTGGGCAGTGCTTGTTGGGCGAGAGACGAAAGAATCGAGAGTATCCGAAAGGGGCTCAAAATTCCTATTTGAAGTCCTTAGTATGGAGCTACTCTACCTAGATTCTTGAAAAAGAAAGATCCAGTTAGTTGAGTCTGCCTGTCAGCTGGCATTGGCATGCAAATATGGATCTGTGAAGGCTACATACAATAATCTCCGGAGCTAGACTCGCAAATCTCAGCCAGAGAAATTCACCTTCCTAAGCGCCACCCGCGCTTGAGGCGGTTTCTCAACAAGAAGGGCCCCGTGCCAGTGGACCTCGTGCCGAGGATTCCCATACCGACCGTTGAAATAAACTCCCTCTCTGGCTTTGAAGAGCATCATTTCCAATGGGTTTCTCCAGGTAACAAGTAAACTTGGATAGTGAGGCGGAGCATAGAGACATGCCAACGCTAACCAGCCGATGGCTATACGTTGCAATTTAGTGTAAGAGAATGTTAACGAGCGAGTCCAGCCGAACAAGGAGGTAGCGGACTGGCCCGGGCGGCATTAATTTTAAACTATCCAGGGCGTACCGGAGTCCTGCCCCGTCTACGGAATTTATTATATCCCTTCGAGGACCATTCTCGCCCTGATAGCAAGACAGACAACATGGAACGCAAATTGCATTGAAATGAGACGTCAGTCCACTATATGGTTATACCGCAGTCATAGGATGATCAAAACCCACCGCAAAAACTTCGGAGAAGAAAATCCAACAAAAGAATGACAAAATCAAAAGGGTCGCCTTTTCGGACGCTAGCCTTGACCCTTCGCTTTTTACGCCCTCCTGTGTTTGGATCATCTGCGGTTCGTAGAGCGGAGGAGATGTGTCGTTGATGGTTCCATTCCAACAATACTTCACGAAGCAGTCCTGGCAAACGACTGGGACTGCCACGCCAGTTGTTTCGAGGCTTCTAGAGAGGATAGCGCATCCTACACATACTGGCCATTCTGAATCAATCGTGCCATTTGCCATCGTTGCGACGTCAAAACCGTTCTGAACAATCGCGTTGCGCTCTGAGTTGTTGTACTGGAGGTCAAACGTTGAGACATTAGAAGAATAAGAATAGGGAAAGTTCGGGAGGTAAACAATGAGCGGGGCATCTCCGGTCATATTTGTCAAGTTGCAACCGAAAAAGGTAGGCCTCGAATTTAATCCCAAGTTGACGAATGTGTTCTGGTCTGGTATAGAGGGAAAGGTCGTGCCATTCGCAAACATGGAGTTAACGCTCCGCCGGTAAGTCGCAACCAAGCTTGTACCATTTGGCCAGTTTGTTTTAGTGTCCGCCGAACTATCAATAGCAAATATCACATCCACTTTTCTAGCCGGCTGGATGAGTGGATGTAAAGGTATGTTCTGGAGATCTTCACCCCCATCAACTAAGAATAGAGTCCGTGAATCCGCATTAGGATTGGTGTCGATGTTATATTGGTAAAATGGATTCGGCGAATATAGCGACACGTCGTTGTTATCCTCATTGATTTCAGCGAGAACTTTGGTGATCGCATTTGCCAGTATAGAAGTGTCGTTCGTCCCGTTAAGTATTAGAAAAGCCTGATTGAAGAGCGATGAAGAAGTCCCCATGACGAACCCGGCGTTGTCAAATCCTCGGACACAGGTTGCGTTCTGTTGTAGCTTTCCTGAGGAAAAATTTGACCCAATATACCTTAATGGAACGAAGCCATTGCCAGTCGGATCAAATGTTCCAAGTTCCCACGGGTTGAATTCAAAAATGGTGGTATTTGAACCTCGGGGTAATATGTGAGCCCTTGAAACGATCGGATATCCAGGTATTTCGCGATACTTACTTATAAGTAGCTCTCCTGGCGCTCGCTCATCCGCTATAACAATCGGCATCGGCATTTCCCCATCCATAAAATCCGGCATCACAGCTAGAGATGACCACGTATAGCTAATGCCCCCATCCACAGCATTGATGAGCTGATATGACAATGCTCGACCCCTGTACAAGGTCAGCCTTCGTTAACAGAACATAGACTGAGCCAAACCAATAGTCGGTAATTGAAGTATTGAAACTTGCGTTTTCTTTGTCACTCACAGCGTCCACTAGTGTTTTATAATAATGAGACACTGAGGGTGGTCCTTCAAAGATAGAATTTTCCAAATTCCACACAGATGCCATATCACCACTCAATAATGCTGGTATTGTCGTGAAGTTGTTCATATACAAAGATCCTACTAACCAGGAGCCGCCACTGAGTCCAGAGAGGTATGTAGCGGATTGCAAAAGGCCTCCGAGATAGCCAGCATCAGTGGGGGCTTCTCCTGTTCGTGAGTCAAACGCAGCGATTGCTCCAGCGCCGTTTAGCATAGCCCTGTAACCCCCTCCTGAAGCAGCGATTGCTATATTAGGCCACGCTGAAATGTTTGCTGCCTGGTTTCGAAGATACTCGGGGGCGTTAAAGTCGGATATATTGATCCTGCTGAGCAACTCAACTAAAGCTTCTTTGGCCTTTGGGCGCCGTTTCAAGAGCCATGATGTTTCGTTTGGCGACAATGCATTCGCGCTGCGCACAAAAGGTTCGGGGGATGGGCAATCACCTCCCTCTGGTGCATATCCATTGGGTGCATCTGGCAAAGCTCGCCGAACAAAGGCATCGATGAGGCCAAGCGTAGTCAAGCCTCTCGGACAATCCCAACTCAAGCCTATCTAGGTTGTTAGTAACCAATTCTCGGTTCCATTAAAGGGGCAAAGATTCTTCACTTTGAGAGAATAAACCGCCCGCAAGCCAAATAATGCTGCTGAGTATCAGATATTTCATTTTGGAGTCTAACTACAGCAGTAGAGTAGCAATATGGGAGAGAGTTCAATCTCCGACACTCGACTTAGTTATAGATATATAAATGCTAAAGTATTTAACGTTTTCCACCCCTGAGAATATATAGCACCTTTCCTAGCTAGTATTTGCGAAAATCTGAAAGCTTATATGTCTATCCTGTAACAAAATTTCTATTCATTGATCCCCTCGAAACACCTAAGCGCCTGGAAATTGCGGAGGTCTATTGTTCCAGCTAGAGATCTGTACGGCTGGGAGAGAGTCATAATGCTCGTGTTGTCGATTCAGAGGTTGAATACTACTGGCGTAGGGATATATCTAGATGACTTGGATCCGGCGGATATCCGGCGGATCTCCTTCCTGAACGTCTGGAAAGTTAACTTGAGGAACCTTGGTTTATAAAACAATTTTGGCCTGTAAAATAAACGATTGTAAATCTAGTGCACCGAGAATCACTAGTACCAAGATGGTGTGTTCTGAAGCAATTGGGTGGGAGAACTGTGGAGAGAGGATGCCTCATAAAGGCAATGTCATAGTTACGAACATTCAGCATCGCCTTTTAGGTATTTTGCTAATCAACTCTGCAGCACTGCTCTCCGTAAGCATAAGTCACTAAATACTGCGAGGGCACTTACTATAGCGCAGCCGTCAAGGGGGGGGGGGGGGGGGGTGATTTTAGGAAGCACCTGGCGGAGTATTTAATGTTCTAGACCTTCAAAACCACGACCCCAATCCCCTAAATTTGGCTTCAGGGGCATGCGACCGGCAGGCTTTCTCTCAGCCATTTCAACTTCAACTTACCTGACTTATGCTCTCGAGTCTCGAACGTGAGAACACATCTTCGCTATGTCATCTAGAGATTCACTTCCCACAATAAATCGTTATATTACAACACACTCGACCTTGGGCGAATCCATCCTCGAAACGACGATCCCATCAAAAGCTCTTTGGCGCGAGGCTCCAGAAGCGTCGTTCTTCCTCGCCTATACTACCAAAACTTTTCCAGTTGTCCTGAAAGACGACGTGGACCTTGACGAATATACGAATACATTCGCATCTATACCAAAATTAACCATATCTGGAGGTACAGTTCTCCGTGTGATGGACCTCGGTCCCGGTATCTCCTCACCCATGCACCGAACAGTAAGCGTCGATTACACTATTGTGTTGGAAGGCGAGGTAGAACTTGAGCTGGATTCCACAGCTACACAGGTTATGAAGAGGGGAGATATATGCGTACAGAGAGCCACTAACCACGCATGGAGGAACATGAGTGAGACAGAGTGGGCGCGCATACTCCTTGTTCATATTGACTCCGAGAAACCTGTGGGAGATGGGAAAGAGCTTGGAGCGAGCATACAGGGTATGGATGTTTTCCCAGACTACCCATGATGCATCTTATCTCATAGCACAGATGCTTCAAATAGGGTTCATCTTGGCGAGACTGATCAACGTAGGCCGTCTCTAGGAAAAGATCAAGGTGTGAGAGCGTCCCTTTTTTAAATTTGGCTCAGGTGTTGAGCTGACAGTGGATATACTAAAGTTGTATTCCTTGAGTTCGTCTCTTGCTATTCTAGCTTTATTCACAAAAGAGATGCAGCTCGTTAACCCAGTTTCGCATCCACCCATCTTCAGGGAAATTACTACCAAGAAATTCAAAATCTGGAGTGCCCTCTAGCATGGGTTGGTCACCTATGTTGTTTCGCGTGGTCGTAGACGATTGCGTTTGAGCATAAAACATCTGTGGCATATTTTCATTCCCATGATGCACATTTTCAATATTCTGGGCGGCCCGAAGCGTCCTATCTACCGAGCATTCAAGCGCTGCGGTAATACGGTCGTAATTTGTCGGGACATCCACTCCATAGGGACCGAAGAGGTCAAGAGGGCAAAAAGAGAAAACATCCACTGATGCGTTAGCGCTGAGCCGTGCCTTCGGAAGCGGCTCTTTGGATTCCAGCGCTCCGCGGATCTCTTGGATGTTACGCAAGTTGTTCGCTGCAGACGGCCTGGTCGACGCAAGTGTTCGGAAACAACCCTCGAGCGTGTCAAGGTTGCTCTTGCATTCTTCCCGCAACGATGGAATCCCGAGGCAAGAAAGCTGCGGGATAGCCGTGACGAGCAAATGCCACGCGAAGCCAGAGCTAAGAGAGCAGGTGTGCCCTCGAAGTTCCATTGCTTCAAAAATACGAAAGCTGAGGTTCGATGCCACAATAGCTGGCGAGCTGGCTGATTGGACACAAAAGATTGATTGTGGTCGATAAAGGATAATAATCGTCGTCAGTAAGTGTACATGTAACTGAGCCAAGTCGAACGAGTAGGGTCTTGGGATTCCGGTTGGTTGAACAAGTAGGAGGGCGGGGGGTAACGATCGCACCCAGTCCAAAAGCCGGAGGCCCACTTCGTTCTTTTCCACGGATGGAGGATCGTTCTGGCGAGTAAGCAACTGGCATAAATCACACATGATGCCTGTGATAGAGACATAGGAAACAAAAATCTGCGCGCGAATATCACTAGGATCTGGAAAGTCGTATATCGACGGCGGCTCAATGCTGCAGTCTGCCGGGTTGACGATCCGAGGGCGTCCATGTGCAGATGACATGATACTATCCCTTGCCTGTGCAAGGTAGGTTAGGTTGCATTAGCTCCTCAACATCCTGTTCTCGTCATTAGAACTCACATATAAAGTCCACCAAACCCTTCGTCTAAGTCCTTCCTGGCTGCTGCGTTTGGTTGACTTTATATTAAGGCCCATCTGTTGGGCCAAACCAAGAGCGTAGCTGCCCCAGAATCTTGGGTGGTCGGTGGAGATGTCATTTGGCGCGGCTGGTGCATAGAATTGCATCAAACACAACGCCACAAGTAAATTAAGCGGGTTTCGTTCAGCACCTGTGTCGATTATTGCTTTGATGCGGCGATACTGTGGATGGGCTGGCAGCGTCATATCACATTCAGGCTTAGTTGAGGTAGCAGCAAGCAGAACGGCTTGCAGAACCAGCAACGAGATCTCCCTCAAAGACGTGTCTCCGGAGGCCATTCCATCGTCCACCACTGGCATCCAAGTCCAGCACTTCTCATAGAAGATTTCAGAAAGTGCTTGACGGATGGGAATTGATGGAAGTTCGAAAGCCTTGTAAAGTTCAAGAACTTTAACATCGTTCTCGGTCAAAGTATGTTCGTGTGACTGACGACCCCCGTGAGAGTGGTCAATCCCAGGGAAGTCATCTCCTAAAACGGCGCGCCGTGACAGGTAGGACGAATTGTAGAACTGGTCAACTTTAGGAGATGAGGCTGCTGCGATGAGATCAATAGGACTCGCAGCTGCAACACAATGGTGGACAAAGAGGAGCGATGTTGTGGGCTTTTCAGCTCGAAATTGGGCTGTTGACGGGGCAATCGTATTCCAATTCTGCTGCTGTTGCTGCTGTTTCTGATTGACTTGTTGGTAAAATGAATCTGGAACAACACTCCGGGTATGACACAGAGTTCTGGCTCTCTCTCCTGGTTGTGGTCGCGGTTGGGTGTGGTCTTTCCGTCGTCGTAAACGGGGTCTGAAGGAGCGTTTATTCTAGACCCTCTGCACGAAGCTGTAGCACTTACTTGCAAGGGAAGCCATGCTCGGCGCAGTTGGAACATATAACGGAAGCGCCATTTATATCACACCGCACTGTCAGCGTTAGCGCTGGGATCGTTCGAGCTTTTCTCCTAAGCTTAAGATATAAAATCCTTTGTACCTTTTCGAGCATAACACGCTTCGCATGCACGGGTATGTTGCGTACGAGTATATATACTACTTGGGTTGTAGCTTTTGAATGTAGCCATACCTTAAATTGAAATTTATCTCACTATAGAGCCGTACATTGAGAAAACAATATTAATATTTGGAAAGGAAAAAGAAAACCCCTTAATTTTGCTTGAGAGGAGTGCGGGGAAAGTGGGGATAGGAATAGCACGCATTCGCAGTCTTGATCCTGCCCCCGACATCGGTAACCCCTAATTGCCTCCATCTTCCCGAACTCTGCTTGGCTGTTGCTGACCGTGAGTTGTCAGAGGTCAGCTCGCAGATGTGTCTTTACAATAGTCTCTCGTGAAAGCACTGACCAGGCTTAACTAGCGAGTAAGCTAGCTGCCTATCACCCCGGGAAGCTATATATACTTACCATCCTCTATTACGTACAGAAATTCTAGTGAAGCACTATTATTTAGATATTTTATAGCTTTGATTTGACTCCATCTTTCTGTATGTCCCGTTGAGCCTGCTTCCACATCTTACGTGTGTCCACCATCATGAGCCACAGATGTTGCATGTGGTTCATCTCACTCTTCTGGGCACCATCTAGAAGGGCTTCGTACGGGGACTGGTCGCTTCTCGCTAGTGCGCTGTCGAGCTCAAATTCTGTGAAGCCATACGCGTTGATGACATTCTGTGCGTGTTTTTCTGCTACTTCAACAATAACCGCGTCGTACGCCAAGCGTAACGAGGCACGGTGAGCAGCTGTCAATGTGAGAAGTGGACATTGCACGATATGAGCCGAGGTCATGATGGAGAGGGAGAACTAACAGCAGGCGAGAAAGTTAATACAGCCATCATCTCATCTGTCAGAATGGAACATACGAGTTGCGCCAATACTACCATAGACTCTTTGTAGAGCTCGCCACTGGGTATGTTGTCAACAGCTTCCCAAAATCCTTTCCAATATATGAAGTCTCCGTGTGCCATTGTCAGTGCATGACAAGCATAGCTGGTATCCCGACCTGCCTTCGTGTCTTCCATGTGCTGCTGTACAAGGATGGCCACCTGCTGTTCGAGTATAAAACTCTGCGCATCACGCATTAGCAAGTCTGAAGGTGATCTGATACACAGTGGCTGTGGCGAAGTGGCGTCGCGCAGAACGGAAAGGTAGGAGAACGAGGGAAGAGATGATTCGGTCCCGCTATAAACTGGTTAGAGAAATCTCTCAAGTAATGGAAGTAACAAACGCTTTGAAATGTTTCAAAATCGCCCTAGGTACTTGTTGCGCCACAACAAAAGTTATCGCCCTCATAGGTCACGGAATTGATAGAATTAGCGTACATCCTGCCAAACCCTGAGAGGGCACTGTAACCATGACCGCCGCATGCAATTCGGCAAGTTTCAACGCCATATCCGGTAATCTCAGTTGAATAGTCTTTAGCACCAACAGTTTGAAGGTGGAGATCTTCCAATTGAGATATTTTGTCAGTCCGAAGGTATTTTGCAGTATATTCATCATATGCGCGTTTGATGGCTTGACCAACGACAACAAGCGCAGTTGCCTTCCGAGGATATTAGTGATAGAACGCATTTAGCTTCTGATATCGAATCTTACCTTGGCGAGGAGTGGAAGCAGTCGATATCGCACACTCGCATAATTGAACGCCGGAGCTTCCTGGTCATTTCCGCTCCTCGAGAATTGCTTTCGAAAGGTGGTGTAATGATAAGCAACAGCCACGGCTTTTAGCAGGTCCCAGCCCGTGATCTCTGCCATTAGAGCGCGGACCGTCACCATTGAACGGTATGAGTGCTTGAGATTCTTGGGCGGGACATAAGTACCGTCTCTGAGAACTTGTACGTTTCTAGCCAGCATTTGGTTTCGAGGAATGCGGACATTGGGAAACCTAAGTGCACCGTTATCTGTTCCCAGCATACCCTGGAATGCCTTCGGGCCGAGCTCGTAAATCTCACAACCAGGCATAAGCTCCTGGGAATCAAGGTTGCGTAATTGAACCAGGAACAGATGATTGCCGTAGTCCTTTTCCTTGATAATCAAGCGAGCCATAACAATGCCAAGTTTAGCTCACACCCCGGTTGCTCTGATCCAGTACTTCGTGCTGCTGAGCGTAGGCGAGTTGATCAAAAACTCGTCGGTCTCCGCATCAAAAGTCGCAGTGGTTTCGATGCCTTTGACTTTGGATCCATAGCCCAGCTCGGTCTGGCAATACGAGCCGAAGATTTCAAATCGTTCGGCCTTCGGGATCCAGATTTCTTTTTGTTCATCTGACATTTGCCGTTCCAGATTTGACAGGAATACTATAGACACAGGTTAATCTCTCAGAACGATCTAGCGTTAGCCGCAGAGCATGCTTCTAAATTGTGGTTGAACCGGCAACATATTGTCCGTCGTTCTGATTGCTTCCATGAAATGACGATGTGGCCAATTGTTCTCGAACTTGAGCCTGATGAGCTCGCGACTTTGCAAAGCCGCGCCGGGTCCACGCATCTTGGCGAGCCAATGATGGAGGAGTGACAATCTTCTTGTCAAAGAGAGGGTCGCCGATCAAGACTTTGAGCAAGGCTTTTCTTCTTCGTAATTTTTCTTCACCTCCCCACAGAAACAATGTGAAAGCTGATTCCTCCGGCTGTACGGGGATGTGTCGAGACATGATGGGAGCCTGAATATTCTTCGACTGCCAGCTACGTATATAATATGCAAAAATGATTTGAATATGATTTACTTGGCCGCATTACAACGGCATCTCCAAGATCACGGGCCCTTTGTGGCTGGCGATGCATTATCTCCCCAGGCTCTGGCGCTGGACGAGAGGCCGGGAATTTCTGAATCAAGTAATCCCCAGGGACCCGCGCGGCAATTGTCCATTTCGACTTCCCCCTTCTCCGCATTCCCATCCGTGTCGGACCAACGAGAGAGCCGCGGATTATCTGTCAGCCATCTGAACGGCACTGTGCTGCCCTCACCGAAGCAGAGCCAGAAATAACCACATGGCCGTGGGTAAAGTCAGCTTGAACTTGCAGGAGATTTCCAGAGCGAGAGAACATGGGCTACCAATATCTCACAGTTGAGCGTAAAGGCGATATCTTCATCATCACACTAAGGAAACCTCCTGAGAATCGTCTTAATATTGCTTGCTGTCAAGAACTTATTAGAGCATATCACTCCATTCAGAAAGCGCTGGGCCAGGATGCCGAAGGGGCAGTTGTATTGACTGCAAGCGGTGCCAAATTTTTTACTACGGTCAGTCTCTAGAGATTAATGATAGCTTTTACCACCTTCCACAACTCTAACATTACCCAAGGGACTTGATCTTGACGAACGGGAAGGCAACGTGTTTGCTTCTAGCGACGGCTTCTATCCCGTAAGTTGGCGAACCCATTGGCCAGAGACTATTCGTCTAATGGCAATACCAGCTTCTAGCCACCATACTTGACTTTCCCTTCCCAACAATAGTATGCATAACTGGTCATGTCATGGGGGGCGCTTGTCTTCTTACCCTAGCTCACGATTACCGAGTCATGAACTCACAGCGCGGGTATTGGCAAATGCCCCCTGTGAATGCTGGTCTTCACCATGATGGAATGGGGTCACTGATTCGACTGAAGCTCGCGCCAAAGGTTGCGAGAAAGGTAATTCTGGAAGCGCACAGGTACACCGGAAATGAGGCATTAGAGGATGGGATAGTGGATTTTATTGCCTCTCCTGATAAGATGCTCGAAGAAGCGATTAAGATTGCAGAGCAGTGGAAGGCAAAGGCGAAAATGGGAGTTTATGGCTTACTCAGAAACGAACTATGGGGCCAAGCTCATTCTGCTTATCAGGCAGCGAGCTATGTCCACTCCAGACAGACATCACGGGAGCCAAAAGTAAAGTTGTAGATATATCCTCAGCACCATCACAATCTATAATATCAAATGTAGTGCGACAAGGATCCAATCATTTCACCCAAAAAGCTGCTGCGGATATCATTCAAAGTCTATTCTCGCGGTTCTTAGATTCCCATCGTTGCACATCTTGATGTCCTTCAGAAGGAAACAGCTCCTTGACAAGCACCTTCTTAACGACCTTCCCTGTGGCATTTTTCTTAAGTTCATTAACTACACGAAGAAGCGTCGGCATCTTATATCCTACCAGTGTAGTTCTCAGATCGTGTCTAAGCTTGCCTAAAGTCAAGCTCTGTAGTGCCTAGACTCGTTAGTTGCTGAGAACGTGGGTTGGAATTCAGCGCGTACATTTGGTTGTAAGACCACCGCGGCAGCGACCCTTTGACCAAATTCCTCATCCTCCACCCCGACCACCATGGCTTCTGCAACATACTCGAGACCTAAGATTTCTCGTTCGATGTCCAGAGCTGAGATTTTGTAGCCACCACTCTTGATTACTGAAAACCTAGTCAGTTCCGATACGGTGCATCAATACGAATTTCTTACTGTCAATGGATGCTCGACCCAAAATAAAGTAATACTTCCCTTCCCGGCGGGCAATATCTCCGGTCTTGAAATATCCATTATCATCAAGAGCATTTCTTGTCGCTTCCCCATCAAATAAATATCTGCATCTGTCAGTAACCTATTGGGTGACACTGGGTGCAGCGTACTTTGAGAACAAGATGGGGCTTCGCATGAGCACTTCTCCTTCATCCCCATTGGATAATTTGAGATCAATTCCAGGGGCTTTTTCTCCAACCGACCCATCTGGTACTCCTTCTGACCGTGGTGTAACAGTAAAGGCATTCCCGAACTCGGTACCACCGTACCTTGTTAAGATAGCCCTGCCTCCTCTTAATTTCGTCCACTTCTGCTGTAGAGGCCGTGGCAGTGCCGAAGTGCCACACAGGAGAGCCCTGAATTCATTTATGCCTTTGACATATTCCTCTAACTCTCTCAGCGGTAAGTTTGACAATCGCTGTTCATAATGTGTCATCAAGCGCATGTAGATGATTGGCACTCCCGAAAAGAATGATAGCCCGCCTCGCCGGATTCGCTCCCATGTCCATTCGACATTGAAGCCACCGCTGCGGAACTCGATGCATCCTCCACAGTACAAGAAAGGAATCAAAGTGACAGTTACCCCAGTTGCATGATGCACAGGCAAGACATGCAATACTGCATCACCTTCCATGATCCCATGTTGGTCGCTGAAAGAAGCCGCCACATCGTAAAAGAAGCCGCGTCGCTTGACTCCACCTTTAGGCGGCCCACTAGTTCCCGAAGTGAAAATGACCAAGCCCGACTTATTCAGGTCGAAGTACGCATCTGATGAAATTTGAATTTGACTTGGATCCAACGGCTTCTGCATGATATGTGATGTAATCTGAATGGCACGGAAGCCCTCATTCTGTAGTTTGCGGACTATTGATTCAAGGTCCTGTGCAAGGTGCACGCTGCGCTGTGCAACAAGAACAGCTGAAGACTTTGATTTGGTAGCGTAGTACGTTGCTTCTTTGGCGGGCAGATCAGGAGCTCCATTTTTTTAGCCCAAAGGAACGTCTAGAGCGAGAGAAGCCACTCACAAATAGGTACAATGACAGCACCCAATGCCATCAGGGCAAAGAAGCCCACCACAAATTCATAACCACCAGGTCCAAGTAGGTTAATGAAGACTTCCTCATCTCTGTCAATTTTCCGGATAATTGTGGGTGGCAGCGTCTGTCTCAAAACATTTCGGAGATGGAGGATGTCCGTCAGGAGTTGAGCGTAGTCGGCTGTATATCCGTAGGTGAGATCCTTTATGGCTACGAGTTTGCGCCTATAAGACCAACGCAATAAGCGGCCAAACAAGAAAAAGTTAGGAAAGACGTTGGGGCCTTGGTGTTTTGGTACCCATTGCGCTCGATCGTCGGGAAAATTGACGTTGTCAATGGTAGCCGGTGAGAGATTAAAGGGAGACCCTGCTAGGTCGTCCGGACGTACTGACATGATGGCGATATAGCACCAAACCGTCCTCGGCCAACTTTGGAAAAAAAAAAAAAAAAAAAAAAAAAATAGAATAGTTGACTATCGCCTGTCACTTCCAATTCAGCCTTGTCGCTTCAGAAACAGCCGGCATCCCATGAGGGGTTGACATACATGGGAGATATGACAGTTTCAATTATTGGAAATCCCCGACGCCGTCAACGGATCCGGAAGTAACTGCCGTTCAAATTCCGGAACCAACCATTCTGGACCTTTTACATCCGGGGCCCCATATGGGAACAGCAGACGTGCAATGTAGCCTCCACACTTCCCAGCAGACATATATGAGGAGGTTGACTGATCGGATGTGGTGTGACCGTCAGTTCTTGACTCCATTCTGCGAAACAGCGCGTTCTCGGTCCAAGTACACCGCCAGACGCGAACAAAACTGTGTCAATGTTTGGCTGGCAAGCTGCGAAGGTCGCTGTCGAGGCTGAAGGTATCTACATTGGAGGATGGGGTCTGCAAAACGTTTTCTGGCCGAAGCGTATGGATGGTCACCACGGTGAGTTCGGCAGACAATCCAGAGTGAACTCGATGGAAAAAAAGCTGATTCATCGATAGCAAGTAGTCAGGATAGAATCGAGCATGTCGTAGCTATCCAGGATTGGGACGCAGACGAAGAGCGTAAGCTTGTGAGGAAACTTGACGCACGAGTTCTGTTCCCTTGTTGCATTATATACTTCCTGGCATATCTTGATCGAGCGAATATGGGGTTTGTGAACGTGCTCCAAGCTGGTAAACCTAGCAGCTTCGAGGAGACCTTACATCTCAAAGGGGCAGACTTCAATTGGGTAATGGTTACCACGACTAGTTTCTTGCTATTGGATGCTGACTAGGACCCAGGCTGTATCCGTCACTTACTTCATGGTCACCGTCCTCTTGATTCCATCGAATCTCCTAATGAAGAAGTTCTCTGGGAAATTTTACTTTCCAGTGATCATGATTCTCTGGGGCACAATTGTCATGTGCATCGGCGCAGTTCATAGCAAAGCCGGCTTGCTTGCTGCGCGCTTCTTCCTTGGGGTGCCTGAGTCTGGCGTTGTACCAGCCTGCATCATGTACTTTTCTTTCTGGTACAAGCCACATGAACGAGCATGGCGGATTGGTATCTTCCATGCCGCAAACTCCCTTGCATCTGGCGTCGGAGGCTTCCTAGCTGTCGCGATCGACCATGTAGGTCATGAAGATGGAGTCATTGAAATACATTGTTCTGACGCGAAAAGCTTAATGGAAGAGCCGGACTAGAAAGTTGGCGTTGGCTATTCATCATCGAAGGAGCAATGCCGTGAGTCCGACTTCTCTTTCCCCTAGATTACCTCTAGTCACTTAGGTATTAACTTTGTTGAAGAATCGTTTGCGCAGTGCCCGTTCACTTCCTCCTGCTTACTTTCCCCGAAGACTCGAAGGCATTGACGGAGAGAGGTAACTTACGTTGCCCAACTGCTAATGCGATTTTACTTGCTGAAGACTCTCAAGAACGTTACATTGCCATCAATCGTTTCGGCCGAGGTGCCACCCGAAAGACAGACGTAACATGGGACTGGCCAGCATTTTTCAATGTCATGTCTCGCCCATCAACATACGTTTTCTTCGTGTCGTACCTATGTTTACTCATCGTTGCTGTCGCACTTGGGACCTTCTTACCAACCATCTTGAAAGTCGTAAGCGACTTTCAACCCACCTTTCCTATGACATTCTCACTGATTGTCTTAGTTTGCCAAATTTAGCAGTACTAAAGCCAACGAATACAGCTCATCGGTCTATTTCGTGGCGATTGTCGTGTATGCCTTCTGGAGTTGGCACTCTGACTGGACGCGGGAGAGAATTTGGCATTATATTATTCCGGCAGCCATGGCTATTCCGTGCTTCGCGATCTGGACCCACGTGGCAACACAAAAGAGCTTTGGCAACATAACACCAATCCAACTTTATGGGTTGGCGTACCTCGGAAATATGGTCTCAATTGCGCAGCCAGCAGCTCTAGCGTACCGAACGTCAACACTGTACGGAGCGTCTGAGCAAGCTATCGGGGGAGCTACCGCCATAGCTTCGCTATCGATTGCAAGTATCATCGGACCTCAGGTAAACCGCAACTCGTTTCAAAGAATCAACACAGGAGCTGACTCTTACAGATTTTCCCGAGCACAGACGCTCCTTGGTACTTGCCGGGCTTTGCTGCTGCGTCCTCCACCATTGCATTCACCATCATCAGCTTTGCAAGCTTACCGTTGTGGCTGATGTGGGAGGCAAAAAGACGTAAAGCAAAGACTGGGCATGCCATGCCTCTACGAGCTATGGAAGACGCAGAACATAGCACCATTTCGGCCGCCAACCTCGCCCGTCTTTATGAACAAAAGGCATTGGAGGAAAAGCGAGTGCTGGATCTGGAAAAGCCTCGCCATATTGAAGAGATCGCAGATACAAAGAGTTGAAAATGAACCTGCACCTAAGTACATAAGGAATACGAGGCCTACGCAGTTGGCACGTCATACCGGTCTGGAGAAAGGAGATTGCGTAGCACCCTTCCAGGCCATCACTTAGCAAAGTGTCGACTTCTGGTCCCTGGAGAAAAGAGTTACCGCATTATACTTGTGATAATATTGGAGTTGTCTTTTCTCTAACAATCCGTGTCAGCGACCAGCACATATTGTTTGCACCGAATAGATCAGGCACATATCGGGCACGTCCCCGACTCCAAGACTTGCAGTCCCCATCGTCAGCTTCGGACATTACCCGTTTTGTGCAATTGCCTCCAAGGATCCCATTAGGGGAGGATTCATTGGAAATCGCGGAAAGAAATCGTCAAATGCTCCACATCTTGTCACCTTCATGGTCGGACAACAGCTGCCTGTAGACGAAAACCAATACTACAATATCAGGTGAGCTTGACCGGTATTCAATAAGCGGGCTTTGCATATTAACGTTGCTATCGCTACATTCACGTCAAAATTCTGTGACCTCTGCTATCCATCAGTTGACAGCGCCAAAAAGAGACCAGATTACCCATAGCTACCAACAGATCATGAGTTGTACTAGCGATTTCAGCACCGGGCTCAAACCTGCTGCACCAGATGGTGCCACGATCATCGCAAACGAGCGAGAACGCTCAAACATCAACATCAAACAGCTGTCGGAGCACTTGATGGGATCGGAATACCTCGAGCGACAACGACAAGTATTGGCAATCTTGAGTCAAGAGAAGGTATTTTCCAAGTCAACTCAAGCAAACCTTTCACGACCGGACAGGTACAAACTAGGCCTCGCCCGGGGAAAGCGTATGCGACAACTTCAAGACAAGCACGGCTGGGATGACGATGACTTCCTGATGGCTGAATACCTTGTGGACGACGTTCAACCATACCATCTGCATATATCGCTTTTTACTGCCGCAGTTCGTGAACAGGCGAGTGATGAGCAGAGGGCGTACTGGATGCCCAAGATCGCCGCGTGGGAAATCATCGGCGCCTATGCTCAGACTGAACTCGGCCATGGTAGCAATGTGCGAGGTATAGAGACCGAAGCACGATGGGACCCGACTACAAAAGAGTTTGTTCTTCACAGTCCCACCATCACAGCGAGCAAGTGGTGGAATGGCACACTGGGCCGAACTGCTAACTATGCGGTTATTATTGCCCAACTAATGCTACCTGAAGATGGAGCCTACAAGCCATACGGACCACACCCGTTCATCGTTCAGATAAGGGATCTAAATACTCATCGACCTCCTCAAAGCATCGTTGTCGGCGATATTGGCCCGAAATATGGATACGCTCCGATGGACAACGCATATTGCCTGTTTAATCAACACCGGTAGGAAGTTATTTGAAACTCAGCAGCACACCTATGGCTAACCCTCATCAACAGCATACCCCATAGTGCCATGCTGTCAAGGCATTCTCGCATCGACCCACAGACTGGAGCCTACACCAAGCCTAAGAATCCTTCTTCCGTTTATGCCCAGCTTACTAGAGGACGTTCAGTCATTGTCATGAATGCGCGTCTAGTTCTGGCTCGAGCCGTGACAGTGGCAGTTCGCTACCTATCAATTCGACGCCAATTTCACGATCAAGACAATCCAGCTCAGCCAATAGAAACATCCGTCCTCGACTACACAACGGTGCAGATACGAATTCTGCCCCTTCTTGCAACAACATTTGCCCTTCACTATTCGGGCGCGTATATGCGGCAGTTATACGAACGTACACGCAAGAATGACACTATGATTGACGCAATCGATGAAGCATCCGTCTCCGAACTCCATAGCACATCAGCTGGACTAAAGAGTCTAGCAACCACGCTCGCCGCCGACGGGATCGAGGTCTGTCGACGCTCTATGGGTGGTCACGGATTCGGCGGAGGTACGGGCCTTGTGCAATTGAACGCGGACTATTTGTCTAGGCCGACGGTTGAGGGCGACAACTGGATGATTACGCAGCAAGTCGCACGTTACCTGATCAAGAAGGTTAAGGAGCGCGCACATTCATTGAAAACCCACACATTGAGTCAGACGGAGGAACACCTCAAAAGCTACTTTTACGGCCGATCTCAGGAGCCCAAGTTTGACGTGTTGAAGAGGGATCAGGCGATCGTCGATGCATTCAATTGGCGTATGGCCTGCATGGCATGCCGAGCCTATGATGCTCGTGAAATCCAAAAGGAATCGTGGAACAGCCTGCTCATCGATTTTCACAAACTTAGTAGGGCCTACTCGCAAGCAATGTTGGTGTCGAACTTCTACACCGCTACAGCCGACAACAGCGACAACCTGGCTGCTCTTGATGCATCTACGCGGGGCATTCTCCTTGATCTCTTCCGGTTGTTCGCCCTTCACACGATGGACTCCGAGGCTCGGGAGTTCCAAAATTCTGGGGCAGTCTCCTCGGAAGATCTGGATAAGTTGCCGGCAAAGGTGTTGGAGCTGATGGAAAGAATAAGGCCACACGCCGTTCGGCTTGTAGATGCATGGGCGATCCCGGATTATTTGCTTGATAGGTCAGTGTACATCCACGGTTAGGTGCAAGTCATCGTACTAATAGCTGAACAGCGCATTGGGACGATACGATGGCAAGGTCTACGAGGACCTCTTTTGTCGCGCACACATGATGAACCCTCTGAACAGATTGATATTCAACCCTGATTATCACACCGATGAGATTGTGATGGGGAGTGGCGATGCAGGGCACATATTGGCCAAGTTGTAGTGTCAAGGCCAAGATTGGGTTCTGAAGATAGCGCAATGAGTAAGAAAGTGTGAAACAGGTAATGAAGAGCAGCTAGGAGCACTTCTTCATCTTTGCACGGAAACCTGAATATTTTTTTGAGCTTCGCAATTCCGCCGCAGGCCAAACAATTCTAAGCATATATCCGTAGGGAAGTGGAAAGCAACTTAACCCGGTCTCTTTATCATCTCCGGAAAGATCACGCACTGGAAGTCTGCTTTTGACATTGTTTCCTTTGCAGCTTCCTTAAGCAAGTGCTAGCAAGCAGGTACACCGAAAAACGGTAAATCACATAATGTACTTGTATGTAATATTGGGGCTCTCAACCGATATACCCCAGTGTGCTTGTACTCAAACAGGGATACGTGATCTAAGTCTTTCATTGGCGCCCTGAATGATAGGCATCCCAACCAGGTAGTTCACCGTCGAGCCGCTGACGTCACTGCGAGACTCGAAGGTTCTACTTCGTACCAAGTAAAAGTGCGATAGCAATATCCAGCCATCGCATATATATTCACTCGAAAATGTGGCGGAGGCAAAGTACTCCCACCACAATCTCCACTGACCACAGTATTTGTAAGTACAGAATTAATTCCTATTGCCACAGCGTATGCTCAACAACGCAGGGACAACAGGCATTATGACATCGAATCAGTCACAGCATTCAGACAATCCCTTTTTGAAGAAGGGGGATGATGAGCCATTGCCTTTAACACCGCTTGCCCTGCCAGCCCCCCAGGATGTGGCAAGTTCAGCAACCGAACCATCCCAAACATTCAAACTCGACGCTCTCGGTCCGGTTGTCATTAATTCAGATGGTACTCTCTCGCGAATCGATAATTGGGCCCAGATGACCAAGACGGAGAGAGAACGGACACTGCGCATCCTGGGCAAACGCAACAAACTCCGAAGGGGTAATATCCTCGCTTCTGAGAGCGAGAATATCAACACAGAATCCGGGAAGCAATGAGGGACAGGTAAATAGAAGATGTCCGGAGTGTGGATGATTCGAAGGAAACCATCTGGATCAAAGAGTGGAAGGCTCAGACGATGAGGAATGCGAAGGTGCCAGACTAGATAGCCGATGGTGCATGAGTGCACGGAAGAACAGTGTCGCCACCATCTTCAAGGCCGAAGGACGAGAACAGGTGCCTAACGAAGGAGCAGCACGCAGTAACGCTTCTGGGAATGAAGAGGCAGCGTATAGCAGCGACAGTGATGTGCTCGGTAGCGCGATAGTATTAAAGGAGATTATGATCGTCAGAGACAGCGGAACCTTTCGCTGATGCGGTCAAAATACAGAGCAATGGTAGTCGACAGAGAATGATTATTGTAGCATTCCCGATTCTTTTAAGTAAAGCACGGTGGGAGGTAGAAGGATACGCGGACCCTTGGGAGCAGAACGATAAGAGTGTCTCCCGAGTGACGAATTGCAAAGTGAGAGAGAGAAGACGCGGTTCTCCGGCATCATGAAAAATTCGCGTGGGGGGCCTTTATGAGGATGAAAGACGAAGCTCGGCCTGGTGACTAGCCCAGTCAGGCGTACTAGCCCGCGCCTAAGTCTGGCACGGAGCACTCTTAAGTACCCAGTAGAAGCCTATATCAGCCTTGCCGAGGACCACTTTACGTGGTTGCAACAGCGACAATGTCCGAGTTCGACTTCGTCAATGTAAAGGCAATTCCCAGGGCCGTCGTGTCACGCGCGCCTCCATGTGCAAGATCACTAGAGAATGTTCCTCATTTCATCAAGGAATCTCTTCGGTCAACCCGACAATGCAGACACTCGCGGCAAATTTGTAGCACCGGTCAATGTACCAGAAGCTAGGGAGGCTTATTGGGAAAACTTCCATAGAGACTTGGAAATCATTTGCCCTTTCTCTCCTCCTCGTTGTCAATTAGGCTAATTCCACACGGCTGCCATAGCCTTTGTGTCTGGAGAAAGAGCGGCCAGCTTTTATGTCTGTTACGCGCAATCTTTATCAATAAGATAGTTGGTCTTGCGTGTTTGACCAAGTTTCCATTTTTGCAAAAATTCTTCTCTCAATTAAAATGCCTGGAAAGATCAGCGAGTGGTCGGACTACGCGCTGACTGAGGAACAGAAGAAGCATTGGATGGAGCATGGGTTCATCAAGATTGAGAACTGTTTCTCGCACGAACTCGCAGAGAAATGGACAAGCTCCATCTGGACGAGACTCGGCGCGTCTTTAGATGA